AGTATTTTGAATGATGTGTAATAAAGGTAGAACCAAGTCAAACCTATAATGTCGATTTGAACCCAGATGAGGCTGTAATCTTTCCGTTGTGTTTCTGCAGGTTTCAGCTGTCTCCAGACTCAAAGACAGCCCTGAGCACTCCCGCCTCTCCTCCGTCAGAGATGTCCGCTCCACTATCCAGCCTGGCCGTTTCTGTCCCCTCGGTGGCTCTGAGCCCCTCCCTTGAGGAGGATCGTCCTCTGCTGCTGTCTAAGAAGAGTCAGCAGACCATGTCCTCCAGACTGGCGGATCAGAAGAGCAGCTTTTCCCACTACAACCACGGCCACGCGGCACACAGCTTACCGCCCAGCCCCGCCCTCCATGCTAAGAACGTGACCTTCGGAACCCCGGGGGACCGAGACGCCGCCGCCAGCTACAGTTTCTCAGAGTTACCTGAGAAACTGACGAATCGACTAGACAGCAGCAGGAAGTGCATCAGCCAAAGAGCTGCGTGCCGCGTGCTGTGCTCCATGGAGTCCAATGACAGCATGCTATTCAGTGAAACGGACGAGCCTCATGGCGGAGACGGACATTTCCTCACTGCAGACAGCACCGCAGCCCTGTGGGACACGGGGAGCAGCAGGACTAACCCAGCATCACCAAGCCACGCCCTGCACCTCCAACCTCACAACCCCATCGCTGTGTAAAGAAATACTCACCTCACATCTACCTTCCACACGCTAACCGCTGCATAAAGACAAAAAAAGGAAAAGAAACCTATTTTAGTGATGTAGTAAATGAAGAGTTTTATAAAAGAAGAAACAATCTGAACATATTCATGAGCTGCAGGTAAAGTGCCATATGCTAGAATACAGCAAAGGTCCCAGAGCAGAAAAATATCAACGGTGCCTTTGTGTTTGGAGTGGCTGAGGTGGAGCAGCACTGCACACCGAGCTGTGGGCCGCCGCCCTGATGTTAGGCCGGGGCCGGACGCATGCCTTGATCAAATACTCAGCATGTTGTACTTTGATTTCCTGCTTTTTTTCCTTTGACAGGGTCGCTTCTTTCCTGCACTTGTCTGATTGATCCTCTGAGCCGGTTTAAAGCCATGCATCACTGAACAGCCACGCCTGGACTTATACTCCTAAAACCTTCTGAAATGGCTCATTACCTGCATTTGATGGAAGAGAGAAAATATTAGCCACCATGTTATTTTTATTGTTCACTATCCGTCCCAGTAACCGGGCATTGAATAGATAGAACTGTGAGATTAATGTGCAATCACTGCTTTACTAATGCGGTCACCGCTTTAGCTAACATAATCCTGTAGATTTATTTCAGTTCTGTATCAGATTTTAATCTGTATTAAAGTAATTGTGCTGCTGCAGTTGGAGACGGCGCTCCTGCAGCCCTGGAGATCCCCGTCCTCACAGGCTGGGTCCTTCAGAGGGACTGTAGAACACTACGGTAACGGCTGCAGCCTCCTAACTAAAGAGGAAGATGCTTGCTCGGTTTTTTTTTATGCTGACCTCCAGTGAATCACCAGGGTGAATACAGCTGCTAACAAAGATCCGAAAGTGGTCAAATGCACTGACTCTATATCTGTTTCATGGTTCTACGTCTTCTAACCCTAATGTCTTAATCAGTCATGTCATAATATTTATTTATTTTTTTTTACATTAACAAGTTTTCCTGGAACTGTAGGAAAAGTCAGTCTTTTAATGAAGGCACATGTTAAGCAGATAGTGCTGTGATTACCCATAATGCTAAGCTGCCTTAAGTCGTACCTTATAGGCATTCAATATCTGCACCTCACCTACTTTAAAAGACGTGTCTGCACTTCTGCTCTCAGATGCTTGGGTTTGTGATTTCTCTATGTGGTGTCATTGTTGATGTAGTGAAAAAAAAACTATCAATAAATAAAAACCGATACTGGTTTAACTGGTTCTGTTATTAGAACATCAAAGGATGTCTCCTGATCTCCTTAACGGACCTCCCAGAAGAAGAATCCTACAGTTTCTGGACCTCCTTAACAATTAAAAATTCTTCAAGAGAAACGGTAATATTTAAAAAAAATTTGATATTTTTAGGGCAAAAGCGAGAAAACTAATAAAAAACGTTTAGTTTTACACTGTAGCTGTCTGGCTTTTCAACTGTGTACATACTAAATAAAATCATTGCTTCCGGTGAAATTCAACACGCTCTGTGTTTTCTTTATCATTTTGACGCTATTGTTCTGATCAAACTTTGTTTCTTACAGCTCCTTACCAAAGGTGGAATTTGCTTGAACATCTTCAAACTTTGACATTCTAATTGGAATTGAATGAGATTCTCAAATATAAAGAAGCACTGCATAGAGGTAAAGGGAAATCTGAAAAGTGTGGTAAGCATCTGATTTCATGTAGCCTAATGCTACATTCATGC